GGGAGAAGCGGCGCTCCACCGGCGTGGTCAACATCCCAGCCGCAGAGGTGAGCCTGGCTGGGGCCGCAGCCGGACCCTGGAGGGCTGCCGCCTCCCTGGGTCTTCCCCCCGGGGCGCAGAGCTTTCCCACTCGAGCTCGTACTGCTTTCCCTTTCCCTGCGCTGGGCAGGCAGAGGGTGATGAAGTTTTACTCGCAACAACTGCTTCCTGGGAAGTTCCCCAAACCCAGAGTAGGACACGTGCTTTTCAGGCTTCCTGGCTGGGATCTCAGACCCAGGATCCTTTTCAGTGCTGGAAATACAACTCGGGGTTCCAGAACTTGCTCCCCTGGACTGGTTTGTTTATGCTTGATCAGTTAGAGAAATTGATTAATGGTGATGACGACATACTGTTTAGTTTCCCACGTGTGTCCTTCTCAAGTTATCAGATAGTTTATCTCTTCTCTCTGAACAGTGTTTAATAGCACCTGTAAAGAAAACGTGGCCTTAGCACAGTCCGAGAATGAACCCAAGATAAGTTCAATGAACCCAAGATAAGTATATCCAAATGAGCACTATTTCATATATAAACCTGCTTTTGGAAATAGTGCCCCCCCCACCCGTTTTTTCTGAGTGATATTCAGCACAGTAGGAACACTGTATCAACTCGCAATACTTTTTGCTAAGACGATCTCTCTTTGTATTTAAGTATTTGACTCTGTGTATCCTGGGAAACATTTCTGGTACGGTTGGTTTTTTGTTTTGTTTGCATGTTGTTTGTTTCTGGTATTTTTGAGCAGTCTGAAAAACATTCCTGCGACAGCAGCAGCAGCATCTTCCCAATAGTGTGACTGGTGAAACATTTTTTACTTGGGGTACCTCTTTCTACCCTCAACAAAACGAAACAATCCTTAACAAGTTTTGGTTACTTTAATAGTAACTGACCGGTGGGGAAGTAATTCAACAACCTTGTTTCACTCAAAGTAGGTTGCATCTTTTTCTCATTGGCTCTAGGTTTTGTCTTTTCTTTCTTTCCTTTTTTTTTTTTTTTTTTTTTGCCTCCTGGCTTTCTAGTTTATTCAACTTTGACATAGTAGATAAATAGGTAGAATTTACAAACTTTAATCGTGGTTCAAATAAAAGCATTTGCAGTAAGTTAGGGTGTATATCAAACATACCCACATTTTTAAGGTTTAATACTGTTTCCATACCTAAAAAAATCAGAGTTTGCCTTTGAAGGGTGTATTTTTATGAGTGTTTCAGAGAGATTTTTATCAGCCAGCAAAACTGTCCTCTGTGGTTTGCTACTTGCACAAAAGATCTGTTATTCATTAAATTGCTTTAAAAGGAATTCATAAGAGTGGTAATCAAATTTCTAGGGTTTTTTTTTTTAAGTTAAAAATATGAAGATTAAGGGGAAATTGAAGACAAGGCTTTGGAAAAGCTACATTCCTCAACTTTATTTTTTAAAGTAGCTGATGGTCCAAATAAAAGAATTTGTCATTTCCAATCTTTTCCTCATTGTTCATATGACAGGGGTCTTATTTTGGAAAATATCTTGGCAGATGTTAAACTTCATTTTTTTGTCTGGCTACTTGTGCTAAAATAGTTATTCTCAAATATCTTTTTTTGTTTTTGTTTTTTTTTTAACAAGGGTAGTGTTTACTGGGAGGAATAAGCATGGTAAATCTTTTGAGAGCCTAAGAAACATCCTTTGTTAATATTTTCTGCTTTGGGTAAGGGAACATAGTGCTGAGAATGTAGATGACTCCCCACTACAATTGAGTCTAATACTCTGGAATGTTTTTCGTTTGGGTGTTGGCAACTCCTAAATTTAATCTTCCTGAAAAACAAACAACCCAGGGTACCATTTCTTGCCTGTGGAACCTAACCTTTTTTATTGAGTTGGGAATTGAGTCCTTTTTGTGCTAACTGTGGCTCTATCTGTTTCATGCTGTAGGACCCAGCAAAACATGGTAATGTTTTACCACAGTGTCTGATTAGCTGACATACTTCTTCAGTGCCTCCTCCCCATATTTTCACTTTTTAAAAAAAAGTTAAGTCTTTCATATTATGTTGATAGTGGTAAAACATGTGACACAAAACTTTAAAAGTGAATCATTTTCATATCTTTAGGTTGTCAGCTTTTTTAGAATTGTGTGCTATTCATTTCGCTTAGTAGTTTCAACATTGAGAAAGCCAGTTGCTGTGGAGCTCTTGTGTAATACAGCCTACCACGCCGATTTTGAAAAGTCATATAATATTTTACAAAATTATCAGGTGTAAAAATACTATAAAAGCAAAAAATCACCCGTCAATATTGTATTGTATTATATACAGTATTGGGTAAGACTTTCTTGTTTTCAGACAGTATTCCCAACCATTAGTAAATTAACTTGCATGCAAAGGGCCAGTTTTATTGGTTGATAAAAAGTTCCTTTGGGAGGTGTTTATTAAGCATCTGTTTGATGCATTGTGACTTTCATTAACTTATTTTACTAATTACTGAGTGTTATAAAGTTGTTATAAAGGAACCTGACCGCAGCTAAAGCCACCACAAGCAACTAGGAGATGGTTTTAGTAAGGATGCAGTCCAAAAGCTGAAAATGGTTGATGATGGTAGGGCGTGTGATGGCTGTAATAAGAGTGAATATACAGTTGCTCATTAATGAAAACTTCAGTTATTCTCATTTACTAAGATTTTCTTTTTACCCTAAGTTTTTACTTTTTCTATTTTTGGGGGTAGAAGCCCAAATTGGATAATTTGAATGTGACATACATCGTGCCAGTAATTTTTGTATACATTCATTAGATCAGCCAAATGTTCATTACATGTCTGTTCAAGGGCACTATCGTAAGCACTGTGGAGAAAACAGGAATAGTGTATTTTCAAGGCGCAAGACTGTAATCTGGGAGGAAGACTAAGGCATAATTACATGAGGGACTTAAGTACTGAGTTAACAGTTTAAAAGCCATCTTAATGCGGTATGTAACTAATTGTTTATTAAAAATATGTGTTTAAAGGGAAGAGATGATGGAGCTGAGAGAAGCTATTGAAGTTGAGGGTCTTGAGCTAAGACTTAAGTTTCTTTATGTATTTATGCATATATTAACACATAAATTCACATATTTTAAATGTCAGAGTGTAGTGGGTTCTTAACTGTGGCAGCACATTAACATCATGTGAGGATATTAAAAAAAAATGGTCCCTCATACTGATGACTTGTCTTCTCCCTCCCTGATGCCCTTAGATTTAGTGGGTCTGGGATGGATCCCAGGCATTAATATTTTGTTAAGCTTCCCATGTGATTCATTTGTGAGTCAGGTTTAAGAACTAATGGGTTACAGTCTGGGGACACAGAAATAGATAGAACACAGGCCTTGCACACAAGGGTCTCTCACGTAATATTAGGAAACTGTGTTAAGTAGTACAGTGTGAAGTACAGGCTCTTTCCTGAGCAGGGTCCCTAACTCAAGAGGAGGGGAATAGTTGAGGAAGGCTTCCTAGATAGTTACACCCCCATTTTCCAAGTGCTTGTGAAGTTACTGCCATTGAGTAGGTTTGCATGAATGGGTTAACAGAGATGTTTTTCGTAGAAAATATAATCTTTCAATAGATAGAGGTCAAATGACACTAAAGTATTGATTCAAATATAAAAGTTAACATATTTAAACTTACTGTTTCCATAGTGGTTGGCTAAAGTGCTGTATGTATTATCTTAATGTTCACAGCAATCCCATATGGTAGTTGTAGTTACTCTTTTTATCTCCATTTCCAGAGGAGAAAATGGAGGCTTACATTTAAAAGGCTCAAGATCACATGGAAAGTGAATAAGTGGCACAGCAGTAATTTAAAGGTTTTTGTGTTTTGTTTTTTTTTTTGTATTTGTGTGTCTAGGGAAAGGAGGGTTTTTAAGAATTAGTGTATCTTACTTTATTTGGCTTATTTCTCTAGATTTTTTCAATAACTTTTTATTAGAGGTTATCTTAAATAATTTAAACATCTGAATGGGGAAAATAGTCAAAGTATGGAATTGAATAGAAATTAAGGTCAAATTTGTAAGCTCAAAGATTGCTTCTGACCGTCTGATCTGTAGTTTGCTTGGCAAAGTTTTGAACACCAGGTCATAGCAAAAATAAGTCTGCTTTTGGCTAGCAGTCAGAAAATGTGAATCTTTGATTTTGCTCAAGTGATATGTTATTTTTCTGTCAAGATCGGGTTATTAACACCTACTCCATAGTTTGAAGGAGCACTTGATATATAGAAACACTTTTAAGTGAACACAATTCAACTCATAATTATTTGGTATATTTATTTACCATTATACAGGACAAGTTCCACTTAGTAAATCTTATAAATCCAGGTAGATTAAGAAATGCCTTTTGGTATGCCCATTATATTCCAGACTGTTTACCTTTCTATGTGATGAGTCAGGAGAAGAACTAATAGTGATTCAGAGTTGGAGAAAATTGGACGTGTGTATAGGGTAGATACAGCATAAACACTGAGGCTCCTTCCTAAGGTATCAAGCCCTACTTTCCTAAATGTTTGCACTCCTTGATAAAGTAAATGAACATTTTAATATTATCAGGATTTGTAATGAATTTTCTAAGGTGAGATGCCTTTTTCCATAAAAATAATAATTATGTAATTAAGGTAGGTGATATTTATGGTTTGTTTATTAAGTGCCAGCCACTGATCTAAGTGCTTTACCTGTATTGGTGCATTTAACTCTCACTACAACCTTATGGGAAAATGGAGCAGAGAAGGTAAGTTACTTACTTGCCTGAGGTCATATGTGTGGTAAGAAACAGAGTAGAGATAAGTCTGTCTTCAAAGCCTTGTGCTTAATAACCATCTTCTTATATTTCAGTGTATCGCATACTATATACCTAGGTTAAGAAATGCCAAGATTATTTTCTAAGAATTTCATTACTCTAGAATTTGAAAATAGTCCTATTATAAAAGGCAGATGAAGTGGGACTTTGTTGGAAAATTTTGAGAGCAAATAAATATATAAACAGTGGCATTAAAATTCTTAAAATCTTTATGAAGCTAGTGACCCCAT